CATAAATTAAATCTGTTAAATTTTGTAAGTTATTAATCAAATAAATATTGACTCTTAGATGCAGCGTTTGTCTTGACTTCAAATGTGATTACACACAGCATCATTTTTATCCAACCTCGGGAGCCATACCTCGAGGAAATGCCGCTACCTTGCATCTGATCTTAGCAGTGTCAGTTCCCAGAAAGATTTACAGGTATCTTAAAAGCTGTGAGGCACCCAGTTCTGTGCCGATGGGAAATCCTGTAAGGCTTCACTGGGTTTCAGTGAAGTGCACTTAGCTACTACCGATTAAGTGACTGTTCCCCAACGAGATACTCCTTTCTTTTGAGCAAAGGATGCTGGCAACATAACTATTTTCTTAAAAGGAAGGGGATTTGGGGGAGCATTTTAGGTGGTCAAATGTACGTATTTAATGTTGTTTGAGGTATTCTAAGGGTAAACAAGACACCCATGCAGGGCTAGTAGGTATGACCAAGATGTGCACGTCCAGGTGGCATTTGCAGGAGACAAAGTACTTTAATTCCTCTGGCCTGTGCTAAAGATTAGGTTTTAGTAGAAACAAGGTAGCCATCCAAGTTGTAATTTAATCAGGATATTCATAACCAGACTGTACATTAAAATAAAAGGCTGGGAGTTGGGTACACTTAATAGGGGGAAATGTTTCTGTGCTTTGTGCTGGGTGTAGCTTCAGTATGGACATTGATTCAGAATTGTTGCAGCTGTTTTTGCCTTCCCCAGGCATTGGTTCTGGTGGGGCTGGGCCCGAGTTTGACTCTACCATCCTTTGATTTAGCTGGTAAGGATCAGGAAAGGCACTATTTTAACCAAAACCACCACCAAGAAGAACTTTCTGTGCTCATTTGAAGTGAAATCAGAAATCATTTTTTTTTTTTTTTTCTAGGAGAGCAAAGTCTGTGCAAACACTTGCATTGGGATTTTGGCCACCTTAGGCTACTGAAGGGAGATCAGTAAAAATTGCACCTCCTATCTGCAAGTTAGGTTTATCTGCAGTTCCTTGTAGCGTGAGTGCTATTTCCACATGGCTTCCAATGCTACGCACAGCTGAGATCTCCAGCTCACTAAGTCAAAGCTCACGTGGGAACCACTCTCTCCTTGATTAGGGCTCCGAACCGAGAATACCTCAGAGCCTGACTTCAGCCAGGGGTTAGCGCTTACTCATCGGTGCTTTGTTGCTGCTGGAAAGTTGACAGCAACCAAGTGAAAGCGCTTCAGTGTGGGACACTCATTCCTCTTGACAGGTATATTGTCTTTGTGGTTACAAGTATTCTCTTTTCCTTCATTGCTTTGTCTTTGTCTTTAATTTCAGTAACTCCTTGGGGTGCAGAGCCATGTGGAGCTGAGCTATCACTAGGACCCCAGCACAAAATGAAAAAGAAAGCCCTGGATTTTTAGCCAGTTAAATCACTTCAGATCACTTTTTTTTTTTTTTTTAAGAAGTGAAAGCTCTTGTTTTTACATAAGTGAACAATGTTCTGGATGCTGGGTTTTATCAGCACAGATTGCACCCACCAAGCGGTGATGTGGCAGCTTTACATCACCTACAGCAGCTACAGCCCATAACGGGGACTGGTCTCATCTGCTTGCTCTGTTACAACTCCAAGGTGTCAAGAAATTGGTTTGGTTTCTGTCAGTGAAACGGTGCCACCCAGCTGCTCACGATGCCTTTCCTAAGAAGAGGAAGCACTTCCAACAGGTAATAAGGCTACAGAAAAGTGATGTTGTCATTGTTGTCTTCATGTCCTCAGCTGCTGGGGCCTGGGTACAGCTTCTGAGTTAGAGCCGTCCGTGTCCAGGTTCGCTCTGTGGTAGGGGGAAGCCTTGTGCCTGGCAAGGAGCCCGCAGCTGTGAAGGCTGCATAAAACACTCCTCTGCGCCTCTCCCTTCCTCATTCGGCCGCTGCACAGTCCAGAAGGGAGCCAAAGTCTGTGCTCACAAATTGCCTGTCTGCCTCCCTGCAGCTATTCGTAAGGCAGCTGCGAGCACGGCAGGTGTTTGTGGATGGTCTGCTCATTGCTAGGCAGTGACAGGCAGAGCTGCTGTCTGCAGCTGAGGTAGAAAATGTCAGTCCGTGTTTTCCTTTTTATAGCTTTTTTTCCCTAAGTATTAATAAGGCAGACTACGTATTACCTCTATGTTCTGGCTAGTATAGTTTCCAGTATTAGGTGCTGTGCTCTGTACGCTATTTTCTGAAATGCTCTCGGGGTTGTGTTTGGTTGCTCTGAAAACCCACAGCTGTAAAATGGCCTTGGTTGCAGATAAATAAAGATTGTAAAAGTCTTAGTGGTGTTGCATGATGTTAAGAAGGAAATAAAGCGTACTCTCTATCGAGCTAAGGTACAAAACTGCTTGTAGAGACTTCTGCAATAGGTGGATTTGGTGCAGCATTTCTGGCATGCTCAAGGTGATCAGATTGTTCTTTCAGCATCTGTGTATACATCAATACATTTAGGAAGCTTGAATTGATTAAGTGTTCCTTTTTCATTTTGTCATTAGCCTAAATTTGCATGCAAAGAGTAGCTGCTTCCTTAGTGGTGAGCTATTGTGCACGTTGGAGATGGCTGCATTTGATCCCAATGGTTAGAGTGACACAACCCTGCAGCAGAACTCGGTGAATAATGAACACTTCTGCTATTAAATGGTAGTAATTTGCAAGAATTTAACAAACCTGCGAATGTGTTCCCTAAAGGACCCTCATTTTCTATCCTGAATGCAACATTTCTTGTGACTAGTGTATATATTTATGCAAAAAAACTAGTAGGAGCTTATCTTGAATGAAAACTTGTGATAAATTACCTTTCCATTACATTAATTCATTCTGAGTTGCTCTGGAAGTTGTATCTTAGCTTTTTTTTTTCTGTTGTGTAACAGCCTCCCTCCCCTTTTTTAGGAAGCCCTGTGTTTATCTGTTTAATCCAAAGGCAGACTCGTTTGAGGATGGTCCCAGAGGTGTAGGCATGAGCCTTTGGTGTGATGGAAGAATTGGGGGTGCTGGAGCCTTCCTGCACAACTGTCAAGTCAGCAAAGGAGAAATAATGATTTTTAGGAGAAAAGTATTAAATTCTGCAGTGTGAATAGGTTTCTGCCCAGGTTTCCCGGGCTGCACTGCTGCTTGTGGTCTCGCTCCCACCCCAAATGCGTGCTGCTTCCACATTACTGGTGTCTATTTCAGCTGTAATTTTTCTCTCTGTGTGAGCCGTGCAAGCTCTTGGCTCGAGTTTTGATCAGTCTGTCTGTTCTTCCTCGTACCCACATTGTTCCTTTATAACTCATACAAAATGCTCTTTGTGTATTATTTTGACTCGTACATATTTTTCTAATCAGGCTTTTGGCTCGCGCTGCCGCACTACCTCAGCCTGCGGTGGTAGATGCTGCTTGAAACCCTGCCTGCGACCACGCTCACGCCCGCGATTACCATTTTATTGTAGCGTTCCCAGTCGTCCGTGCGCCTCCGTGAACTCGCTCTGCAAAGGCTTTTTTCCCCCAAAGGTATCATCCTGCGTCCAAAACCAGACTGCTTCAAACCTCATCTGTTCTGTAATGAACTTCTGTCGGGCAGGATGAGGACACAGCAGCCTCCCACCTCCCCCCAGACCTCCCCTTGGGCCGTAACACAAGCTCGTGCCTCCGCACCCAGGTGGCCCTGCTCGGGGAGGTTGCCCTGGTGGCCTGGCTGTGTGGTAGCACATCCTTCAGGGGAAGGGATGGAAAGAAACTCGTACAGCAGCCTGTTACCTGCTCGGACATGCTCCCCGGAGCTTCAGTGTGTGGTTTTAGGAGCTGACTCCCAGATCTCGTGTGCTTCCTCCTAACAGTAGGCAAGAAACTTTGCGAAAGGTTGTCCGAACAGCCTGAGCCACCAGTAAATGCTTGTTCCTGGTGCTCAGGAAACAAAACCAAACAAAATCAGATAAGCTGTTCGTACTAAATGCTGGTTACCTTGCCTCAAACTTTTTGCCTCCTGGTTTTAGTACCTCATTCTCATGCAAGGCCTCTGTGTTGGGCTAGACTTTGGTCTCCTCATGAGGAAGCGACTCCCACTTGCACCATGAGAAGTGAAACCTGAGGCGCTGTCAGCTCAGGCCTAGCAATTTCATGGTGGAAGATGCTCCAGCCCCTAAAATAAGCCAAGCTTTCCTGTGAGTTTTCTACTCAACGTATGGCTACAGCACAAGCACTTTTCTCCAAACCTTAGCAAACTGCTGCTAATGAACACTTAGGTTAGCAGGTTCGAGGGCCTGCCTGTTGCAGCCTTCACACAATGGCCGTGATGACATGTAGTAAGTCTGTGCTTACCCTTGCATCGATGTGTCTAATTGCTAGTGCTCCTTGCCTAGTCAACTCAACTCCGTGTCCCGTTATCTACCAGAACATTTGGAGGCAGGATTTGGTTCTGCTCTCCTGTGGCACTACAGCTGCCTCTGGCAGGTGCAGTCCTCGGATGGTTGCAATCCTCCACGGTTTTAGGAAACCAAGGGGTATAACGCTACTGGAAAAAGGCCAAAAGCTTCTCTTAAGATTGCATTTGACATGTTAGTTGGGAGCTTGGTCAACTGTAAGTAGGGATGTTATTAATCTGCAGCTGTATTGGTACGGTACTCCTGTCCAAAAAGCAAGTCCTGTGCATAATAAAACCTCAATAGCAAAGCAGATGCAATGCCACAGAAAATTCTGGTGAGGCTATGTCCCCTCCCTAGGGGATCTATGTCCGGGACAGCTGCTCATTTATGCACACAGCTATGTAAAACCCACCTCTTCTGTGCAGCAGGTGGCTAGCCACTTTCCACACGTGTGATGGTGTGGTAGTCACTGCTGAAGGCCATGGCCACTGCTGCACCTCTCACCTTCCAGTCCTGCTGGGCTCTCAGTGAAGATCTGCACCAAGTCCATGCCACTGTATCTTCACCCCTGCTCGCCAGAGCACCCCAATAACAGTCTCTTTAATTACTTGTTCATTGTTGGCAAAGCAGGTGGCACTTGGCTTCAGGGTATGTCAACAAGCAAAGCTTTATTGAATCGATACACAGTATTAGAAGTGTTAAAGTGTGGTACATAAAGCAAGGAAAAAAGCAGTGCTTATAAAGGTAACTAGAAGTGTGGCCCAAGCACTACAGTAAACTACTATCGGTTTCACAGTAGTTAGTAACATTTTGGAAACTCTTTTCTTGCAGCAGAATCTGAGCAGAGCCGTACAGGTTGCGTGCTGTGCCCCCTCACTGGGCATGAACGAGGGCACCTGCTCCCTGCCCGTAGCCAAATCCTTTGGGGCCGAAGTTCTTTGCGTAACAGCCTGCAAGAGAGAGGTGTGGTAGGGGCTGAGGCATCTGAAAGTCTCTTGAAACAGGAATAAATTCAGCCTCTGCCCTTGTAACACACCACCTTGAACCATTAACAAATACTCTTTTTTTTTTTTTTTTTTTTTTTTTTTTCCTCACCTTTACAGTAGATTTCTCCCTCTTTTTCAGTTAGGGTTGTAGATTCTAGGCTTTTCCCACACTTGGCACATCGGAAGCAGTTTTTGTGCCATGGCTAGGAGAGGAAAAACAAAAAAGCTTAAACACGCAGGATGCCTGAATTTGAAATAAATAAATAAAATAAAAGCTATTAATTAGACATGCTTGTATCAGTATTGTTTACATATGTTGGTGCAATGAAAACCACTTGGAGTGCACTAGTCACCGATTAAGAGTGTCTGCATTTTTGGGTGGCACAAAGCCCTGGATTCCACACAGCTTACTGCTCAGGGAAGCATTTTGGAAGGCCTGGGCTTGCCCTAATCAATTCTGATCTTGGCTATCAGTCAGACAGCTGGCAGACTGACACACAGCTTTATGTGGTGCTTGCAGAGAATATGCCCTTTCTGCTGAAACATTCAGCCCTTCATGAGCTGCGCACAAAAGGATCATTCTCTTTTCTGGAGGGAGAGGGCTCCTGAACTTTGGTTCAAGCCTCTGGCATGAGAAGGTATTGAAGCTTCATCTCTGAAATCCAGGGCAAGACCTTGTTACCCAGAATTTCCATTTCAAGTGCTCTTTAAAAAAATAACAAAATAAAAAATAGAAACAAAAATGAAGACTAGATTACTTTGACCATTTCCAGTTTTGAAAAATGAAATTTTAGGGTGACTGCCGCACAGTTGGTTCTTCACTACCTTCTAGATAACACACACAAAGAAGCCTTCATAATACTCCTCAATCACTTTAAAGTCCATTTAAGAGATTAAAAAGAATCGCATTCCCTTACCTTTCCAGCACCTATTACTTTCTCTGCCGCATACACAGAATCCCCACACCTGGAACATTTCTCTGCGCCTCCAAACTTCTGAGCGAATTTTGAAGTATTTGGATTTGTTGTGGGTCGGTGGGGAGAGGGCGTGCTGATAGAAAGAGAACATTTGTTTTCTTTTCTTAGTAAAAGAGCTCTTGCTCTTCCTGACAATGCTAGCAGTGCAGCATCTAACACACAGTACAGAATACAGTACTTTTCCAAAATTTGAGAGGTTGTTACCACGTCACTTCTAGAGACATGATGAATTCCGAGACCTGTATTCCAAGGTGATTGTTAAATTCCTGTCATTTGGTCATGTCTGGAACCTGAGCTGGTCAGTGAACCTAATGGATTGAGCTATGTATCATTTCTAGATTTGCTCTGGCTGGAGAGCAGGCATCATATAAAAGTCAAGTAACAAATTGCATGAGGCAAGTGGCGAGGCGTACCTCAGGTGCTTTTCACGTGCTTTGCTTTGCAGCAAGAACTTAATCAGATTAGGACTGTTTACTCTTTAATAAGCCACTTGGTTTTGGCTGTAATTAAGCACAAATGCTTCTTCATTTACCAATTAAAATTTCATTCTTGTAGCCCCAGATTTGGTGCTCCCTAAATCCTTCCCTGCACAAACCTGCTGAGCAGCTGCATTTGTAGCTTGCACAGGAGAGCACCCCGAGACCCACCAGGGTGCCGACCTGCTGACGGCTCATCAGAACCATCATCAGGGCAGCAACCCCACCACATCCTAATCCATATGGCTTGCTTCTTGTGTCCTTACCCGTGCTGACCCCTGCTCTTACAGTGCCTACTCAGGGGCATCGTGGAAGGTTTGTGCACTGTCAGCTAAATGCCTCGCATTCGGTTAGACTGTATTCAGTTCTATCTTTTGCAGTGTTCCTCTCCAAGTGACAAGGATTAGACAAAAATCCACCCTGAAAGCCTCCTGTGAGAACAGTGCTGGAGGACAAAGGTGAGGCACATCCCAGCCCGGTTAACTCACCTCTCAGGCTTGATACCTAGTCTCTCTCCCCTGTCCATGTTCAGTGTGCCTGCCCCTTGCCCATATCCGTAACCTTTCGGGCCATACTTTTTCCCATAGCAAGACTTGCAGTAAACTTCAGCATCATGAATCGCTACGGTTGTGCTGTCCAAGTTTTTCCGGCAGACCACTAGAGGGAAAAAAGTTAAACAGCCTTAAGGGACAATTTCCAGCAGCACACGTAGTAAGCCAGCAGTGAAGGGAGAAGCAGTGGTATGGCTTTCCTTGTCCACAAGTCTTCCTATTAGGCTGTGGGACAGCTGGAGATGAGAGGGGGCAGGTTGTCTTTTGAATTAGTGAATTATGCTTAGCCCTATAAAGGGCTCTCTTCCCTCCCACCTTTCCACAGCCATGACATTTGAAGTCTGGAAGCTTGCCGTGGTTTGATGAATGAGACCGCTCAGAAACCCAGATAGTGCCGTCAGCGGTTTCCCTTGACAGATGCCGTATAGTAGAGAGCAAAGCAGTGCAGAAGAGTCCCTGTCCTGCCCTTTTGGCCAGGGAAGGAAAACCTGAAGGCTTCCCCCCTGCCTGGTTCTGGTTTGGGGCACAGTTGGTGCTGTTTCACAGCTGTCACCAGAGGGGCCTCGCTTTTCTGGCATTCATAAATCGTCCTTCAGCACAATGTAAGCACCCTGCCCAAGGTTACAGCTGAAGGCAAAACTATTTCCTGCTTCTTCTTAAACCTGCCTTTGTAACCACACTAACATGTTCTCCCAGTCTGCAGCAGCACTGTGCAGTGATAAAGAATTTGGATGGGGGGGGAGGAAAAAAGAGAGAGAGCCCTAAGAATTTTGTGTTCAAAAAGAATTTAGGGTCTTCAAAATACACAGCGACCTTTGCTTATGGCATTCATTAGCTCCAAGGCTCTTTTTATAAGACACAAATATCCAATAAGTAAATCAACTCGTGCATGTTTGTTAAAGCGTACAGACTTTAACCCCAGCAGAACTATGCACGAAGCAAAAGCAAACACGCAGTCAAACACACTAGAGCCATTGTTTGCCTACAAGTTCCAGGTTTCTTTTAATAGAAACTCCCATAAAAGGCTGAAAATGAGGCAGCTGAGACATCTAATTTTTGTGACTGCTGTAGAGCTAAGGAAAAGGAGTGTAGGTGCGCCGGGGCTCCCGTGCCAGCACGGCGCGCTGACATTGTGCTGCAGATTCATGGCAAACCAGACCGAGAGCTGCAAGTGTGGCTTGTAGAGAAGGCAAAATCCCAGCTCAGTCTGCAGGAATTAAATGCCAGCAAGACAGAACAATACCTCATGGCTGCAATGAGGTAAAATTCCCTGACTCGGTCAGGCAGGCTGCTGGTTTACAAAGTGTTCAAAGTAAATAACTTGACCCCCAACCAACAGCGTGGCCGCTGCCACAACCCCAAGCTAGGCCGGGTGGTTTTGGGGTGGCAGGCCGGGCCGGGGGCAGTACTTACTGCAGAGGAAGCAGCAGCGGTGGAAGCTCCTGCCGTCGCACTGCACCTCCTCGGCGTGGTACACGGTCCGGCCGCAGGCGCCGCACTTGTTGCCTCCTCCCCAGTTGGGCATGGCGGTGCTGCAGGCCGCGGGGTGGCGGGGGAGAAGGAGAAGCTCGTTAGCTGTGCTGATTGCCGCGTCCTTCGGGGCCCTGGCTCCCCGAGGGTTAGGGTTTTGGGTACTGACAACGAAATCTGCCGAGCTTGGTGCTCCAAGCAAGGAAAACAGAGATGAATCCATGAGGCACATCCTCCAGTGCCTGCTCAGGAGTTTCAACGTTACATAAACTGGATATGCACAAATTAGGCTTTCATGCACAAGGGCTTTACTGTACCTTGAGCGGACGCCCCCCCAGATGGATGTAATTTCAGTTTCTATGCTTCATTAGCGCTGGGCCTCTCAGCTGGTGGAAGCAAACCAATTGTGCCAACAACGGCATTTTGTTTCCCTGCAGGGCCCAACATTCGGGATGCAGCACAAGCCAAAGTTCAGCTTGCTGGAGAGCCATTTATTAGGGCTGTGGGGGCATTCAGAGCTCCCTTGGGATCACGCCTGCACTTCAAGGCTGTTTAAGGGGGATTATTTCCCAGCGCCCCCACCACTGTTACACAAACTGCATCTTAACCAGACAGCTACAGGCACCAAACCCAACTGCTCAGGGACTGCAGCTGCCCTAAGAGGAAGAGGAGCTCTCTCTCATGCATGATTTGCAGCAGGCCCTGAGAGGCTGGCATGGAGGGATGGCTATCACTAGCGATCATATCCAGCTACAGCCCTAGCAGCAGTCGCCTACCCAAAGCCAGAAGCAGCAGCTGTCCCAGCTCAACCTGCCCCTGCCCCTGCCCTGCTGCCCTGTCCTCACGCTGTCACCCCCACCGAATCCCACCCAGCTTGGCCTGCAGCTCCCCCTGCTCCCCAGAGGGTCCCGTTAGCTGGCCTGGGCTAAAGCACTACCTTTGGCTTGCATGGGGTTTTCCTCCTCCTGCCACCACTGAGGGCTATGAACTTTCTGCCTCAGGGCACTTTTGTTTGGGGTACACCTTTCTGAGGTGACTTTGCCAAACCCAAACGAAGCCACCCACCTCACCCATGCTGCACGAGTGCCTCCAGCCCACGCAGCCCGAGTGCCAGCTCAGTGGTCCGGGGCGTGCAGCAGGGGCTGCACGGGTCCCCAGGGAGACACGCTGCCAAGCCACGGCTGGCAGACCTTTGTCCCAGCCAGGCAAGCAGCCACTCATGGCATGTGGGAAAATAAGATTAGTTATTAACGCGAATTAGGGCATCTTTGGTACATTCCTACACAAAGGCTTAAGAAACTTCCTCGGAGTGGCTGAGCGGTGCCATTTACAGCACCGACACTAATTACTGAGATATTCCTTTGTTTAATGCTTCCACGGGATTAACAACATTACTGCTCATGGTTTAGCACTAATACTCTGACCGAGCTCATAAAATTAGTTTTATGACGTTCACCAGTTTGTCTCTGTCATTCTTGGCACAACCATAGAGTCTAAAAAATTAAGATTCCATTTCTTTTATTCAAGTGTTTGGCTGTGCTACCGCACAGCAGCTGACATCAATCATGGCATACAGCGTCCTTAGTTAACGGGAATATAGGCTGCACAAAGCTTCGGAAAAGGAATGTGTTAACTGGAAAAAAAAAAAAAAAAAGAGAGAGAAGAGATTCCTTTCCATTTTGTACACTTTCCAAAGCGTAAGTGGTAGGTATTTGGTACGAGAACTACCTCCTCTCTATTTTCCTTTCACCTTCCCATGCTCACATCCTTTTTTGCATTCACTTCAGCTTAAATTATTTTAATCGCTTTATTAGCAAACAGTTGTCTAGTTTCCACACACACTAGACCTGAAGACCTGGATCTGGTTTCCAGCTTCGCCCCAGATTTCCCATGCAGTATTGGCCAATACGGGGTGCAGCTCCACCCCTCCTTCCTTAGGGAGACGAAGTATTAGAGGATCTGGCAACCATTAGCTGACTCCAATACCCTGATAAGGGCTCTGGGAATTCATTAAATGAAAAGCAAAAAAAAAAAAAGGAGCTGAAGTCAGAGCTTCAAGGTGACCTCGCTCTCTTCCACAGAAGAGATTTCCATTTATCCTCCCCGCGACGTTCCCATGACAGCTCGCGTGGGAAGCATGGCAATATTTCTTCAATTACCCGGCAGCGAGGGCTACCCCGAGGCGGCGGTGCCTGGGAGGCACCAGGGGAGGAAGGGCTGATGGTGTGGGGGCGCGCAGGACGGTGTGCAGGCCCCAGGAGAATGGGGTTCTCCTCCAGGAGCTCCGCGGGCAGCAGCTCCCAACCCCAGCGCCCGCACGAAGCCTTCTCCACCCCCGGGAGGTTTTTTGGCCAGTTCAGGCAAGCCTCCGGGGAGCTCCAGCGCAGTAATTAAGCATCCAGATGATCTCACCAGCAGCACCAACAATTCTGACTTTTAATTGCAGGTTTGTTGGCAGCTCCTGCCCCCTGATAAGAGCACCCTGGCTTCTGCTAAGCTCGTGCCCGGCCGAGGGGAGGCTACGTTCCTCAGCTAGCGCTCTCCAAAAGGCCAGTTACAAGCCAGGGCAGTGGCAAAATCCTTTCCGACACATTTGTTAATGGGGTTTCAACAGAAGATACCCAAAGCAGACACAGGACAGACAGTGAGGAATGTCAAGCTTATCCCGTTATCCTTAAACTATACAAAATAGCTTTTGCAGTGACCCGTTCGGGGACCCAGACATGATCCATGGGACAAGCTGAGTGCTGACAGGCATCGGGCAGCCCCACGCTGCTCTCCCCAGCCCCAGCCCCACTGCTCACCCACAGCCACCCCGCACAGGGCTACCCACCATAACCAACACCAAGGGAACCCTTAAACCTATAGGGCCGGGCTACGCGCTGCCAGGGGACTCCTCAGCAGCCAAAGCAGAAGAGGGAAAAATGAAGGGCTCCCTCCCTCAGCTCACCCCATGCCTCTCCGCACAGCTGGGCAAGCATCCCCCAGCCCCATCGCCGGCCGGGCAGACCCCAATGGGCGCCCCAAAAGAACTCCAGGGATGGGTAGGGATGGGTTGGGATGGGATGGGGTGCGATGGGATGCGATGGGGTGCCATGGGGTGGGATGGGAGGGGGTAGCTATTGCTCCGACGCCCCCCCCGTCCCGGTGTCGCCCCCCAGGACCCCGCTCCCCCTGGCCCCCACTCACCACGGGCTGAGCTCGGCTCCTCTCGGCCCGGCGCGGCCCCGCAGCCGCTTAAAGCGCCGGGGCGGAGCCTCCCCCGCCCGGCCCGGCCCCGGCCCCGGCCCCGCTGCCCCCCCCGGGGCCGCCCCGTCTGCGGGGGGACCCGATGGGACGGGACGGGGCGAGGGGGGCCCGAGGTGTCCCCCCGCGGGCTGTGGAGGGGGGGTCAGGCTGCGCTTTAACCCGTCCTGCTCCGTTTTAGGGGGTTTTAACCCCAAACGGGCAGGCTGCGTCCCTCCGACAGCCCGCAGAGCCCGCGGCCGGGCTGCTGGGGCCAAAAGTGGGCTCGGTGCTATGAGGGGCGCGGGTGGGGAGGGTGCGGGGGTCCTGCCCGGGTCCTGCCCGGGTCCTGGCCCCGCAGCTCGGCTCCAAAACCGAGCTGAGCAACCAGCCCCCGGGGTGGCCGCCAGCCAGGCGCAGAGGCTCGGGGTGCAAGCAGAAACACCCCAAAGTATTGGCCATGGTTGGTGCTCGGCTTGGAGGTGAGGTTAAGGGAGAGGAGCCCTCCAGTTCAGGAAACAAGAGGGTGTGAGTCAGAGCAGGCTGCCTGTGTGCACTGCACCAGGTACCTGTGCTCTCTTGCCCAACCTGTCCCGCTCCCAGCCCTGCTGGGACTGCGTGTAACGAGGCCGGGTTATTTACCACGTCTCCTCAGGTAGCCTCCAACGCGCTGAGATCTTCCCTCCCGATAATGTTTCCTGAAGACTGTAAAGAAAATAAACAGCGAGGATCCTGAAGGGAAGAAAGCAGCGCTGCAGTCCTGTTGAGATGTGAACGTATGCAAAGCAAGGAAATGCTCACTGCGATTAAGGGGCCCTGCTGGTACAAAAAAAAACTTTCTTCAGCACTGCCAAGGGAGTTAGAAGACAGTCTGACATGCAAGAATTATTTTTCTCATGCCCAATATTTAATCAGTCTGTAAGAATCAGAGTAAGTACCAAGGACTGACTGATATGTTAGTAAGTCCATTACTGTAGGAACAACGTTAAGGAATACATTACTGCAGCCCTCAGGAATCATGGCTTGGAATGAAGGAAAGCAGAAATGAGAGGGAAAACTTTCACCACATCGTTTATTTTTATCGATTAATATTTCTATAATAGGATCTGTAAATATATTCAAATATGCATAAATATATATAAATACATTCTTATTTATATGTGCATATTTTATAAATATGAATGTAGGTATAACTCCATACACACACATATTGTATCTCCTCAGCAGGTCTCTTCTCTGTCTCTGTCCCTACGTTCCCCGAGGACACAGTCTGGAACAATTTAAAGACGAAGCCTGCATCTGACCCTCCTGCACCCCTGGCTGTCCTGCACACTCCCTTACCCAGTGACCCCAGCAGCCTCCCGGCCCCATCTCCCTCCTCACCACCCTCCTGACACAATCCCATTCTGCCCCGTCTTCCTGTCTAACACCCACTGTAAGCTCCTCTTTCCAACCCCAAATCCCAAATGTTGACTCCCCTCGCTGCCTTGCAGAGGAGCTCCCATCTGACCTCCCTGCCAGGTGCCCCTCTCCTGCTCCCTGCCAGCGTTTTTCTGACTCGTGCAGTTTTGAGCTCAGCAGGTCACAAACAGGTCAGTTTGTTCTGAGAAGCAGCATTTAGGTTCTCAACAACCACCTCTCGTTTCCTCTATAGGTTGGCCAGCTCCAGAGTCAGCCTGTGAGCAGGGACACATGCTTCTGCTTTCTTGTGCTTCCGTGGCCACCTGCACAAAACCAGTCCTCCCTTCCCTTGTAAAACTGACCTGAAGCATGTTTGTCCACTGCTTTCACCTCAAAACAAAGCTCTCTGGTTTTAGCTATTCTGTAATCTTACGTAAAAGTTGTTCTGCGGGTTTTGGGGACTGAGTAAATAACCAGGCTTTCTGACCTATTTTCTCCACTTGTCACATATCAGCCTTGGGCCTTTTACATCCACTAAATACCTTCCACTCACCTGGGATTATCTTATCCTTGTTTGATCTTGTAAGTATGGTCCCACATGTCTGCTTACAGCTCAATCAGTCTGCTCACTGCCCTGGTAATCCTTGCTGTCACTTTATGTACATTTTTCTAGATGGTTGGGACTTTACTTTGCAGGGGGGTTGGTCATATTATGATACAGTGTTTGCCAGATGTATTTTTATCAAAATACTGGCATTACTGATAGAGCTCTCTTAAGTATGCTCTTGACAGAGCATAATTTAACTAATTTTCCTGTTACAAGAGATTGTTTTAAAGCTAGTGTCAGAGGTTATCATTTACTAACCTTCGAGGTCAGACAGTTCTCCAGGTGTTCTGTTGTACCTTGGCTAATTTCTCACTGCTAAACCCACACTTGCCCATGGTAAAAGGTCTTTTTAAATGAGCTCTATGCAACATCAGCAAGTGAAAAACTGATTCTTGCTCAGTTACCCATATTTGCCCTGTTCTAGAAGGATATGCCTATTTAGCTAATTGCTATAGCTAAATATTCGTGCATCACAATAATGCTATACATTTATTCTGTTGTAAATATAACAATGATAAATCAGTGAAGTGTCCACAAATTAATAAAGATACAGCAGACAATTCTAGGGTTTATTAGAGCTGAGATTTTGAATCAGCTGTTTAAATCCAAAACAGGGATGTCAGAGACATCCAATATGAGCAGGCTATGTTTTCAAGGCTCATTGATTTCTTTATCATTGCTCATATTTGAAAATTATTTTACTTCTAGGAATTTTAACTTCTAGGAAAAGTTAATTACAACATCCTCATTTGCCTAGAGGCTATAAGAAAGAGCAATTTGGATGTCCAGTAAACAACATGATCCAAGCTAGCTTAATTTTATAAAATTTATAGTTTCATCTTTCTTGACCCACACCTTCATATCAGTGAGGCTTCGTATCAGTGAAGTCTCTTTTGGGCCCCTCGCTACAAGAAGGACATGGAGGTGCTTGAGCGAGTCCAGAGAAGGGCGACGAAGCTGGTGAGGGGCCTGGAGAACAAGTCCTACGAGGAGCGGCTGAAGGAGCTGGGCTTGTTCAGCCTGGAGAAAGGGAGGCTCAGGGGCGACCTTATTGCTCTCTACAGGTACCTTAAAGGAGGCTGTAGTGAGCTGGTTGTGGGCCTGTTCTCCTACGTGCCTCGTGACAGGACGAGGGGGAACGGGCTAAAGTTGCGCTAGGGGAGTTTTAGGTTGGATGTTATGAAGAACTTGTTTACCGAAAGGGTTGTTAGACATTGGAACAGGCTGCCCAGGGAGGTGGTGGAGTCACCATCCCTGGAAGTCTTCAAAAGACGTTTGGATGTAGAGCTTAGGGATATGGTTTAGTGGGGACTGTTAGTGTTAGGTTAGAGGTTGGACTCGATCTTGAGGTCTCTTCCAACCTAGAAACTGTGATTCTGTGAAAGTGTGAAGGGATAACAATACCTTTTGTGGTTTAATTTCCAGTTTCATTTTATTTTCAAGCTAGAATGTTTTAGCTTTTTGAGTTCTTCCCAAAGAAATTAATTCTAGACATGTGTAGGAGCAGTTTAATATTTTATGCATACAAGGGATTGAAGTGTAAATATGGCCTCATGGCTCAACAATGGGTATTATTAAGTTTCCATTGGTCTTTGTGGGAGAACAGCACACAGGAAATCAGCAAGAAACAGCTAAAAGATACTTCATCACAATTCATAGTGGTTCTCAAAATTACATTTTATTAAGAAAAGTTATTTTATTAAGAAAAGGTTACACATAGACAAGTTCGTATAGCAAGTGTGGGGTGTTGCAGAATTTTCATACACAGCTGATGGCACCATCTGCTCCTCTGTAGGACTGTCCCACAGGATGTTGATGTGTCTCCAGTGGTACGTCAAGGAGAGGTGGCCAGGAGCGTGATATCATGGGCTTGTGTCCATGTCCAGCGCTGAGGCTAGCAGAGAAGCAAAAGCACTAACAAGCGAACCCCTGTGTGTTGTGCCACCCACCTCCTGGGCCCACCATGTCACCAGCCCCACTGTGGTGTGGCCGTGACATCAGTGGGGCTGGTGCCAGTGGCACAATATGGGAAGGGACTGGGTGTTGACCTTCCTTTGCATGTGGCCATGGAGTCCAGGGATCTCTCCTGTACAATGCTGACGTGTCACGGGCTCGCGTCCGTGTCCAGCGGTGAGGCTAGGAGAGAAGCAAGTACGGGCAACAAGACATCAGTGGGGTTAGTGCCAGTGGCACAATATGGGAAGGGACTGGGTGTTGACCTTCCTTTGCATGTGGCCATGCAGTCCAGGAATCTCTCCTGTACAATGCTGACGTGTCATGGGCTCGTGTCCGTGTCCAGCGCTGAGGCTAGGAGAGAAGCAAGTATGGGCAACAAGACATCAGTGGGGTTGGTGCCAGCGGCACAATATGGGAAGGGACTGGGTGTTGACCTTCCTTTGCATGTGGCCATGGAGTCCAAGGATCTCTCCTGTAGAATGCTGACGTGCTATGGGCTCGTGTCCATGTCCAGCGCTGAGGCTAGGAGAGAAGCAAGTACGGGCAACAAGAGAACCGCCATGTCTAATACCAGGCGTCTCCTGGGCCCACCATGTCACCAGCTCCACTTTGATGTGGCCGTGACATCAGTGGGACTGGTGCCAGCGGCACACAATATGGGAAGGGACTGGGTGTTGACCTTCCTTTGCATGTGGCCATGGAGTCCAGGGATCTCTCCTGTAGAATGCTGACGTGCTATGGGCTCGTGTCCATGTCCAGCGCTGAGGCTAGGAGAGAAGCAAGTACAGGCAACAAGAGAACCGCCATGTCTAATACCAGGCGTCTCCTGGGCCCACCATGTCACCAGCTCCACTTTGATGTGGCCGTGACATCAGTGGGACTGGTGCCAGCGGCACACAATATGGGAAGGGACTGGGTGTTGACCTTCCTTTGCATGTGGCCATGCAGTCCAGGAATCTCTCCTGTACAATGCTGACGTGTCATGGGCTCGTGTCCGTGTCCAGCGCTGAGGCTAGGAGAGAAGCAAGTATGGGCAACAAGACATCAGTGGGGTTGGTGCCAGCGGCACAATATGGGAAGGGACTGGGTGTTGACCTTCCTTTGCATGTGGCCATGGAGTCCAAGG